ATCTATGGCAATCGTTACGGGTAGTCGGAGCTCTAAAAGTCCGACAACAACCTTTCTATAGAACTTCGATATCGCCTAGTACTTGGGTTGTGAAGGTCTGATGCGAGTCGAAAAAATCGAAGTTCAGCCGTATCTTAGTAGACTTAAAAGCCGACCCCAACCTAGTTTGGGTAAAAGGTTAAAAAAGAATAGTGAGTAACTCTTTGACCAAACTAAACCTCCCCCGGGACCCGCAATGAAATTAATCAGAAGAAAATTGTAGAAGTTGGAAATAATAATAATATTGTACCACATACACACAACGCCCTCCCTATAGAATTTTTCCCCGACCCGGCAACTTTTCAAATTCCACGCGAACGAAGTCGCGGGCACCAGATGGTGTATAATATACTCGTATATGTATTTGCAAAAAAAAAAAGAAACGGGTTGTCAGGTAGTAGCCATAGCTTGGTTTGAAACTAGATGGCGTTGTGTGTATGTGGTAGAATACTGGGTCTACCAATAGGGATGACCTGGTTTGGCAGCTCATAGCGGCCATGTTTGATGATGGATCTTGTCACGTTTCACTTTAAACAAACGCTTGGATATTGTCCAAAATTAAGACACGTTCTCCTACCGCTACAGTAAGAGCGCTTCGCCTGTGAGACAAAGAAATGCCCGTAGTGAAGAGAATATCGCAGCCGTTTAGGCCAGTGTTGATGCGAATTCAAATCGATTAGTTCAACGCCGTTCACAAGAGTTGGGGCTCTCTCCAATGACCACCTGGCGTATTTTGCGGTTGGGTTTGGGCCTACACCCATACAAAATTGTTTTGGCACAATAATGGAAGCCATCCGACCATTGTATCCGTCGTGAATTTGCCGATTATGCACTGGAAATGATGGAAGCCGATGACGATTTTCATCGTAAAATCATCTTCTCAGATGAGGCCCATTTCTGGCTCAATGGATTTGTTAATAAACAAAATTGTCGCTATTGGAGTGAGTCAAATCAACGTGTGGTTCATGAATCACCATTGCATCCGCAAAAAATAACAGTTTGGTGCGGTTTATGGTACGGTGGAATCATTGGTCCGTACTTCTTTGAAAGTGACGAAGGAAACCCTGTTACTGTGAATGGCGAGCGCTATAACTCGATGTTAACCGAATATTTATATCTGGAATTTGATGATATTGATGTAGATGACCTTTATTTTCAACAAGACGGCACCACCTCACATTACTCGAGTGAACATGGAATTATTGCGTGGAAAGTTTGGTGAGTCGTTAATTTCGAGAAATGGACCGATCAGTTGGCCACCAAGATAGTGTGATTTAACACCTTTAGACTATTTTCTTTGGGGTTACGTTAAATCTAAAGTGTACAGCAATAATCCAGCTACAATTCGTGACCTAAAAACCAACATTCGAGAGCCATAGCCGACATACCGGCCGAAATGGTGCACCGCGTCATCGAAAATTGGCGTGAGCGGCAGGTGACCGTCTGCAAAAAGAGCCGCGGCGGTCATTTGGTCGATATATTATTTAAAACATAATTGTATAAAATTATCTATCAAATAAATCAATCGGATGCATTTTTCATAAAAAAATGTGTTTTATTCAATTTTTAAACCAGGACGTTCTTATTGGTAGACCCCATATTATTATTATTTCCAACTTCTACAATTTCCTTCTGATTAATTTCATTGCAGGTCCCGGGGGAGATTAAGTTTGATCAAAGAGTTACTCCCTATTCTTTTCCGCCAAACCTTTTACCCAAACTAGGTTGGGGTCGGCTTTTAAGTCTACTTAGATACGGTTGAACTTCGATTTTTTTACTGCCATCAGACCGTCGCAACCCAAGTACTAGGCGATACCGAAGTTCTGCAGAAAGACTGTTGTGGGAGTTTTTAGGGCTCCAACTATCCGTAACGATTGCCACAGATGTTAACTTAACGTGCTCTCCGAGGCATGGAGGGCTTGTAATATGTTAAGAATGGTCATCACATCACATCCATCAAAACAGCCTTTAATAGTCCACTGCTGGACATAGGCCTCTCCTTAAAAAGGAGGTTCCTACTATACCACGCTGGCCAGACGGGTTGGCATAGGATTTGTGTCAAGTTTTCCTTCTTTCTGCAGTGCTGCTGTGCTGCGTTGTTTTGCTCCCTTAGTCGGCTCTTAAGACACCCACGGGATGAATTGGGGTAGTGACATTCCGTATTCTTAATCCGTCACTACACGGACATTTATCTCAACGCTGTGTGTTTTAGAAAGACACATAATAGAGCTGTTTTGCACTAAAACAAAACAGCACAGCAAGTCGCTTGCAGGTGAGTGAAGACTTCTATGTCACTTGTGACTTCTGTGTAAGAATTGTCATCGATCCAAAAATTGACCTGGCTAGGATTGCTTAAGTTCGCAATGTTATACCACTTCTTTTTTTTTTTTTGTACTCATTCACACAACGCCATCTAGTCCCAAACTAATTAGAGCTTGTGCTATGGGCACAAGACAACTGATATAAATACATATATATATATTTATTTTTTTTGTTGTAAATACATACATATTATACATAGAAACACCCAGACCAAATCAAACATTAAATGTTCATGCACACAAACGTTTGACTTGAGCGGGAATCGAACCCGCGACCTTTGGAATAGCAGTCCGTTACACAAACCACCACGCTATCCGGTCGTCACTTTGCCACGAGCCCCTCTCTATTCAATAGTTTTGTTTCCAGAATCAACATATCCAGTTGCTGTTCAATGAAGTTGCCCTGAATGCTCAACAGTATGTGGCGGAGAATAGGCTGGCGAAAAAAATTGCACTATTCTGTGGCCTAGAAGATCAGTTTGGCCACTTGGAAAAGAACTCACCTGAAGTTCGGTAAAATTTTATTTAACAATTTGCCAGTTATCATCAATTATCATCATCAACAGCCTTTAACAGTCCACTGCTGGACATAGGCCTCTTCTTAGAGAGGAGGTTTTGGTCTACTATACCACGCTGGCCAGATGGGTTGGTATAGGGTTTGTTCCAAGTTTGCCTTCTATTTGCAGTGCTGTTGTCCTGCGTAGTTTGCTCCCTTAGTCGTCTCTTACGACACCCACGGGATGAATAGGGGTGGTGACACTCCGTATTCTTAATCCGTCACCACACGGACAGGTCAAAATTACCTATAGGTCAAAATTATTCATAGTTTAAGGTACACACGAGCAGACGTATCATCTGGTGGTAATTGATGACTACCGCCAATGGACACTTGCTACTCTAGAGATTTGTATTTAAAAAAAAAGGCAAATTGTCTATGTAGGTTTTTACAAAAAACCTTATAACTACGGATAACTTATCACTTCGATATCAAAGTCTACTGTATCCTCTATCTCTACTTCAGGCGAGCTTATATAGAAGATGAGAGGAAAAAGTGTGTGTGTGTGTGTGTGTGTGTGTCACACACGGCAGAAGAGAAACTTTCGAAAAAAAAAATATCTCAGAAAAAGCCTATAAAATTTTGCCCATGATCGAACCCACTATGGCAGCGTTTTTCAAATTCCACGCAAACGAAGTCGCGGATACTAGCTAGTATTAAACAAAAAGATAAAAATGTTCACACTGTCAAAATATTTTATTTTAAATAATGTGTAATGTATTCTATCTCATTCTCTCGCCGACTTAATCCAATACATTTATGTGTTTGTTACTTTATCGTGACGCATTTTCGTTTCATCGAGTTTCAAATCGTTTCAAGACGTTTCACTTCAAAAGACAACTGCCGCACTAGGAATACATACTGCAACATACATGAAAGGAACACCCAGACTCAAAACAACAATTTGTGGATCACACTAAGTTTTGTCCCATGTAGGGTCGAGCCTAGAACACTCAATGCAGTAGGAAGTGAAGTGACCGCTTAACCAGTACGCCATCCGTGCGGTCAACATCAGTGCATTATTGAAAAAACTAATAAAATAAAAAATGAAGTGAAACATAAAAAACAGAAATAATAATAATAAAAAAAATGCACTAGCCCACACCAAATTTGTACTTAAGAATGTTGTTGATATCGCCATTGATGGGCCATTGCCATCGACAGTCTATTGACACTGTGAATTTATGTTAGTAGAATACCGATATTTTGATCGATGTCAGTAGCATCTCAATAGCGTGTCAATAGAATGACAGTGGCTTGTACGTTAACATAAAATAAAAAAAATAAGACCCAGTAAGCCTGTTTCCAGTAAGTTTCTAAGCCAGAGGTAATGGGTTCGATCTATGGGACAATTAATTGTGTGATGAGCACAATCGATGATGATACAGACACAAGAAACGGAATAAATTCTGTTTCTTGTGTCTGCATCATCATAGCGATTTATAAATGTACTAAATAATGCTTGTAGAATTAGCCGTACCACCCAGACACAGAACAAATTCTCATGCTCATCACACAATTATCTATCCTGGGTGGAAATTGAACTTGCGACCGCTCAGCACTCAGAAGCATCTAATCACATGACCAATAATAATTATGAATATGGTGATAGTGGAATGACTACATTAGAGGAAGCCTGAAAGTAGTGCCAATGGATGAAAAGTTGAGGAGTAACAGGTAATCCTGGTATGGACATATCACGCAGCAAAATTTTATGTATGGAAGATGACGGTTTTAAGAGTAGACAAAAGAGAAGAATGATGGGCAACTTGAAAGAGGATACGGCTAGAAAGGGAGTAAGCAGTGAACTGACGAGTTATAGAGGAGAATGGCAGAAAAAACTTATTAGGCCATCATCATGCTCTATGTAGGCCTCTCCCAAAGCTCTCTCAACAAGCGGTCTGGTCTTTTACTTCTCGTCACCTTCACCAGGTCGTCTTACCACCTTGTAGGGGGTCTATCCACGCTTCGTCTTTCGGTACGTGGTCGCCGTTCTAAAACTTTTGGCCTCATGGCAACCCAAAATAAATTTGGGGAAAGGGTCAGCAGATTATGATTAAATTTTATGTCAGTGCAGATTCAGGATGCCATATCTGACGGCAAATAACTCATTTCCTAGTTTTAGTTACTTGAAACCATCCTATGGAAGGAGAGATGGTGAAGAACCACAAATGCAAGAGAATCAGACAACCATAACTCTGACTCCAATAGAAGTTTTGGACCAGTATGCATTTTTCACGAGCCCTTTAACTACCAAAGAAAAAAATAAAATTAAAGATATTGGTTTTGAAACAGCAGGGTAACTATTTTACTATTTTTGTATTTTTTAAGATGTAGGTGGCAAACGAGGAGCCGAGTGTCAGTTTATTTCACATCTAATAGAGCATCACGATGACCGCATCCGGCTTTGCGATTTGCCCGGCCACAAATATCAAAACAAAAGTCATGATGTCATGCCTCCTACCTTGTGTAACCTACGCATGTCAAACTTGGAAATTTACATCCAAATTAAAAAGCAAAATCACTACTTGCCAACGCGGAATAGAACGAAGTATGCTCAATATTAAGAAGATGCAAAAAATTCGTCACACAAAAATTAGAGAAACCACCAAAGCGACGGATGCTCTAACCTACGCTAAGAAACTAAAATGGAAATGGGCTGGGCAAGTAGCGAGACTAAGGGACGAGAGATGGACCAACAGGGTAATAACGTGGAAGGAAAATTATATATATATTTTATTATATTTTTATTTGTTTCATTGTATTTATCTTCACCAAATGCAACACCGAACGGGGTCATAGATAATGCTGAAATTCGGTACAATCTACAAAGCATTTTTTGACGTGACAACGTCTTATAATTCGATGGAGCCGGCTGCACGCACGAAAAAACATGACTCATGCGGCGTTACCTCGCTCTGAGGCGTTCCATTTAAGGCGCGAAGTGCAAGCGAGATCGCGGAACGAGCGACAAAGAGGCACAATCGGCCTTCGGCAGCGTTTGACATCTGTCTCTCTCCTACTTGAGTGAGCGATGCGTCCGCGTGGACAGCTGCTATACAATAATACATTTACATGTTTTCGTAAAATGCAACCATTCTATCAGTATTTTCTTATGACGTTGTCACGTTCAACTATCGTCAGTAAACCGACTTTACAGACAACCGATTTTTTTTGAAGTCCGTTAAATTTATGATCTCTCAATGATACAGGGAGACTATACATATGATCATCCGTGGCATGGGACCATTAGAACATCGGTCTACTAGACAGCCATTTGGAGGAGGCCTGGAACAGCATATCAGAACTACCACAGAAAGAAATCATATTCATTTGGTAAATAATTTCACACATTTCATACAAATCAATCAAATCAAAGAGTCACTAATGCGTTGCCGACGTTAGAGTTCTCCACTAGATCCTCAGGAGGGAGATTTGACCTTCGGGACACTTACTCATTTTTTTTTTAACTCCGATGTTCTGTGAATTTGTGTAGAAACAGGGACCCTTTTATTTCAACTAATTTTTGTAGTGAAACCTTCTTTGGGCATTTTTGAACAACAAACAAAAGAATGTATTTTTTGAGATGGGAAAAACCATTGAACTCGCAACACTGTTACCGTTACCGACACCTCTGTGTAGAAGTATCTGCATATATTGACCCTATTTACACGATAGTTAAGTTTGGGTTGAAATACATTGATAATATAACTATATATGATATAAACATATATTGTGTGTATACGTACAACATAGATATATATTCATGTCGGAACTGTTCGAATTGAAAAAAAAACAAAATATTTTATCATTTTTTTTTTTAATTTTCAAGTTTTTACTTCTGTCGTCACTCCCGGAGTACCACTGTGTTTTTTTCTCGTAATTGAATTGTGCATAACGAGTTAGGCATATTTTTTTATGTGTCCTATTTCAGTAGGCATAAATGTCATTTAGAATAATTTTATTAGTCCTAATTTCATTGACATAAAGTTATAAGACAAATTGTTTATTCGTCTAAAGGTTTTAGGCATAAACATCAAAAGTCATAATGGAAACATAGTTTAGTTATTTATACGTATTTATTAATAATTTCCATGCAAAATATAAAAGTATAAATGTACTTGTTACTTTAATAATTAAAAAAGTAGGTATTATATCCAATATAACTTGGGTACCATAGTGTAACAATAAGAAAGAGTGGGGCGGGGTCTACCCCTAAGCTGCCAATATGTTTACTTTATAAACGAAAATATTATGCCTAAATATCATTATGCGGACACAAAATGCTTTAGAATAGTGGTCTTAACAATTATTATGCTTGTAGTAATTATGTTTAAAAAAATTTACCTAAACAGTTGTGCCAAATTAATATTGTGCGTAACTATTATTCACCACACATCAACACTTTTTAACACACAACACACTTTAACAGTCCACTGCTGAACATAGGCCTCTCCTTAGAAAGGAGACTTTGGCCTACTATAACACGCTGGCCAGACGGGTTGGTATAGGGTTTGTGTCAAGTTTTCCTTCTCTCTGCAGTGCTGTTGTCCTGCGTAGTTTGCTTCCTTAGTCGGCTCTTACGACACCCACGGGATGTATAGGGGTGGTGACACTCCGTATTATTAATCCGTCACCACACGGAACTTTTATTAGGACAAGTAAAAGTATGGCGTGATAAATTATGACATAATTTTATGCGAATAAATAGGGAACCATCAAAGCATGGGTCTCCCACGAGAGCCGGGAATTGCCTCGATCTGCCTTAGCCGTATACTATCATTTCCCTTGTTGTTAGCATGTTAGCAGTTCGTTGCTCCATATGAGGGGCCTGTTGATCTAGTGGTTAGTGACCCTGACTGCTAAACCGGAGGTCGTGGGTTCGATGCCCACCCAGGACAAATATTGTGTGATGAGCACGATCGTTTGTTCTGTGTCTGGGTGTAATTTATCTATAATATGTATGTATTTAGAAATATATAAGTATGTTTATATGTATTTATATCAGTTGTCTAGTACCCATAGTACAAGCTCTGCTTAGTTTGGGACTAGATGGCGTTGTGTGAATGAGGTACAATATTATTATTATTATTTTTTACTAGCTGACCCGCGCAACTTCGTCTGCGTCTCACAATAGTAATAAATTTTCTCCGTTTTGAAACATTCTTCATTGGTGCTCCGCTCCTATTGGTCTTAGCGTGATGATATATAGCCTATAGCCTTCCTCGATAAATGGGCTATCTAACACTGAAAGAATTTTTCAAATCGGACCAGTAGTTCCTGAGATTAGCGCGTTCAAACAAACAAACAAACAAACAAACTCTTCAGCTTTATAATATTAGTATAGATTTACTACGTAAATACCTTTTATAACAGTTGTGCCATCGAAAATTGAACGGAATTTAATTGAAACTGAACTTCTGGTTTTGTTCATTACAGATATCTACCAAAGCGCCGCCATTTGATACTGAGGACCAAACTCATAAAAATCCTGAAAAATTTGATTCACCAATGGATGATACTTCAAGAGCATTCAAAAATAAACTTAGGCTGGGTCCCTTATAACTCTGCAAATATAAACTGTATTAAATGGTTGCCTTTTCTTTTTACCTGATTGCGCGAGAAGGAGAGGTATAATAATAATAATTAATAATAATAATATACCTCTCACATCTCACACACGGCCGTCTCATCCCAAACTAGGCAGAGCCTGTACTACGGTAACCAGACTACTGATAAACATACTTATATATTTCTAAATACATACATATTATAGATAAATTACACACACAGAACAAACGATCCTGCTCATGACACAAATATTTGTTCTGGGTGGGAATCGAACCCATGACCTCTGGTTTAGCAGTCAGGGTCACTAACCACTAGACCAACAGGCCCGTCGTAATAATATCAGAGTGTATGTATGAACCAACTTGTATAAATTTACCTTTTTTGTTGACGGGGTGGAAAATCCCTTCGGATCTCCGGCTCCTTGGGGATGTAGGAGCTAGGAGTATGTGGTGTTTCCACTAAAAACCACCCCGACGGCCGGTCTCAGGCGCCCTACTCCGAAGAGGACCCGGACCATGTTATTTCAGGTCCCCCCCAGATCGACGCCGCGCCTAGTAAAGCCCTATCCCGGGGAAGGGCCAATCTTTATAAAATGTTGAGGCCCGATCGCATTTTTGCGACCAGGCCACCATCAAACCGCAGCAGTTAAAGTGCCACCAGAGGTCCCCTACCTCTGGCAGCCTGAGACCCGTTGTATAAATTTACCTAAAGATAAAGAAAAGAAAGAAAGAAAGAAAAACAATTTATTCGTGGACGTAAGAACATACACTCACAATATAAGGAAAATTTAATACAATTCTTAAGTGCCAGTCGAATAGGACCTGGTTTGTGATTAACAGATGTCAAGAGCTGGTTTCCAACCAGATCTTTTAATGAGTGTAAATCTATGTTATAACAAAAAATTAAATAGTTATAAGCAAATATGAACAAAAAGAAGCAAAGATATAAGGGTTAAATTAGCATAAATAATAATATACTCAACTATTCACACAACCACGGGAAAGGACAAAAATTAGCACAAATTGGGTCCCGGTATTTGGTAAACAGCAACACGGTAGGTCAAGGCGACGATGGCGAATCCATCTGAAAGGCTGCTGAAAAGACTAACATATTACAGGGAGATGTGGAAGGGATAGAGAGAGACCTTCGTTCTGCAGTGGGACAACAGGCTAAAAAAAAATTAATCAATTTACTTTCGTATCCATACTTCTATAATTATATTACAAATGCGAAAGTACTCGTAAGTTTGTTTGTTTGATTGTTACGCTTTCACGCCGAAAACCACTAAACTGATTTAAAAAAATCTTTTTCAGTCAGTCAGTTCAGTTGTTTAATGTATTCAAAACTAAATTAATTATAGTTTAAAAAAATTAAGACTCACGCTTTTGTAACTAGCCGAACTTCGTAGAAAATAATTATACATATATAAGTACAAAAAGAAAAAGAAAGAAATAAAATCATCATCAACAAACCTTTAATAGTCCACTGTTGGACATACACCTCTCCGTAGAAAGCAGGTTTTGGCCTACTATACCACGCTGGCCAGACGGGTTGGTATAGGGTTTTTGTTAAGTTTTCTTTCTCTTTGCGGAGCTGGTTTCCTGCGTAGTTTTCTCCCTTAGTCGACTCTCACGACACCCACGGGATGAATAGGAGTGTTGACACTCCGTATTCTTAATCCGTCACCACACGGAAAGAAGAAACGACGACGAAAAAAAGAGTAGGGTGCTAGAATATTTTTACAATAAGGGAGCTTATTGTCCGTGTGGTGACGGATTAAGAATACAAATTGTCACCACCCCAATTCATCCCGTGGGTGTCGTAAGAGCCGACTAAGGGAGCAAACTAAGCAGGACAACAGCACTGCAAAGAGAAGGAAAACTTGAAACAACCCTATACCAACCCGTCTGGCCAGCGTGGTATAGTAGGCCAAAAACTCCTTTCTAAGGAGAGGCCTATGTCCAGCAGTGGACTAGTATAGGCTGTTGATGTGATGATGTGATGAGCTTATTGTAAAAATATTTAATTGACAGATATTGGTAAAAGTAAAGCTATTTTATTATAAAACTAGCCGTCCCGGCAAACATTGTTTTGCCATATACATTATTTCTAGGAAATATTGAAAAAAAACATATTAGGGGTGGGTCACCCTTGTCATTTAGGGGTAAGAAAAATAGATGTTGGCCGATTCTCAGACCTACCCGATGTGCACACAAAATTTCATAAAAATCGGTTCAGGGGTTTCGGAGGAGTATGGTAACTAACATTGTGACACGAGAATTTTATATATAAGACTAGCTGACCCGGCGAACTCTGTTCCGCTTTAAAGTTGTTGATACACGATATTTTGTTTTCTTAGCAGGCGCAAAAACAAACAACGCAGATGGCCTTCCGACCAGTACTCAACGTTGCAATGTGTCTTTAATGTTTTAGAAATAAGTGGCGAATATGGAACAATCCAACTGTTGTCGACAACGAAATCCATTCTTTTCACTTTTGTTGTGACAGTTCCACCGTTGTCATCTGGTGATCGACGCCGATACAAAAAAAACGGAATAAATAATATCCTATGTCCGTCTCCTGGCTCTAAGCTACCTCCTCACCAATTTTCAGCCATATCGGTAAAGCCATTCTTGAGTTATAAATAGTGTAACTAACACGACTTTCTTTTATATATATAGATGACGGGTGGTCTAATTAAAGTGTTAGCATTTGTTTATATTATAACACATGTTTATTTCCTGTTAAGTGATTAGTTGTTTATTTTGGACCTTGACAATTCGTGTGGATCACTTCTTGAAGGAGATATCGCGTAAATGATCACCCTTACTCGAGCTTGTGTTTCAGCACTTTCTATAACGGTCTCTATAGCACCTATTTCGAGTCGAATATTGGTCTTGAGTTCTTCCACAGTAGGTGGATTGTTAACGTAAACTATGGTCTTCTAAAAACTAAACAGAAAAAGTCAGGAGCAGTTAGAGGATTCGATCCGAGATCCCGGGATCCCGGTCATATTTTAGTCCCGAAATTTTCGGGATCAAATTGAATGAATCCCGGGATTTTCGGGATTGATACATTTTTTACATAAGTCAATAAAAATGTGCGTAAAAAGAAACGCACTTGCCTTGATTTGATGTTTTGACAGCCGTCTTGTCTACACAGCTGATTTCATTTGTTTTGCTAATGACCGGTTCTGGATTATGCGTAAAAGTGTGTAATTTATAAAGTTTCTGGGGAATTTAATTAAAAAAATATGAGTAGGTATCTATAAACATTGGTCTCCTAAGCATATCGTTTTTTTTTATAGTTTATCTAAATAAGTCTAAAGAAGTTGTTTTTTTTAAGTTTATTATTAGTTTCATAAATTATTTACCGCAACACAAAACAAAATAGGCACTAGTTTGATTATATTATTTTATAAGAAGAAAGCATAATTTTGGTTAACCGCCTTTTTGGAGATTTAAAACTTAAATATTCTATGTCCTCACAAAACTAAATGATAAACAAAAAAAATATTTTGATATGTTTTACTGTCTTTTTGTTACCACTTTCCATGCCAATACAATCCCGGGACTATCCCGGGATCCCGAGATTAACTGTAGATAATCCCGAAATCCCGGGATTATAAAAATCGACCGGGATCGAATCCTCTAGGAGCAGTCAAATACGGCTTTCTTGGAGGCCAGTCAAAATTACCGTAATGTTCCCCGCGACACAGGATATATTCCTGGTTCGGGAGTTGTCTTAAAAAATATATATATATATATATTATATTATATTATATATTATATATTATATTATATTATATTAATTTTAAGGTATAATCGTTTATTTAATTAGTATTCAAATCAACTAGACAATGGTCCTCCGTACGCCGTAAGACTGTAAACATTAAAAACAATTGTTGTTCCAAAAACACTTGATCAAACATTTGTATACTAATCTTTTGGTTTTATATTTTTGGATAAATACTGTTATACACTAGAGTTATTGTAATACTGTAATATTATGGCTTCGCTGATCGATAATATTTGACTGTTTCCGTGATGCAGCGGCAGCGTATGCGATTACTGTGCTGAGGTCTGGAGTTTGATTCCTGGGTCTTTTTGTGCGGAAATCCCCTCGGATACCACCCACCGGTGGTTATGTCGGACTCGAACCGACCAAAAACCGTGGTCGAATTCAGACAACGTAGAGGATACAATGAATCAAGATTATAGTTATATTCTCCAAACAAACTTGCACCCCTTGTTAAGGGTAGTTTTAATAAAGAGTATTTACTGTGGGTTTGAAAAAGCTACTACCAAAAATGACGAAAGTTTCACGTGAATTTCCAGCCCCCATTTTACACCCTTAGGGTCGAAATTTTTACAAATCCTTTCTGAGTGCATTCCTGCGTCACCTAAAGAACATTTGTGCACAATTTCATGGTCCTAGATCCACCAGTTGCATCTGTGCGTTGATCCATCACTCAGTGAATCTTCTTCTTTTATAGATATTTTGTAATATATATTTAAGTTTATCAGAGGTCTGGTTACCATAGTTAACGCTCTGCCGCTCTCTGTGCGGTCTCTTATTATTATCAATATTAAAAAAAAACCGTAATATTAATATTACATCTAACACACAACGCCATCTAGTTTCAAACTAAGCAGAGCTTTAATATGAAAACTAGATTGACTGATAAAATACTTATATACATTTTTTGTAAAAACATACATATAATACATAGAACACATCCAAACTTCTAAGCAAAACATTTGCAGATCATACAAACATTTGGTTCGACTTGGGAATCGAACCCGAGACCTCAGCACAACAGTCGCATACGCTACCACTGCAACACCGAGGCAGTCGTATATTATTACTAGCTGACCCGCGCAACTTCGTCTGCGTCAATAGTAATAAATTTTCTCCGTTTTTGAAACATTCTTCATTGGTGCTCCGCTCCTATTGGTCTTAGCGTGATGATATATAGCCTATAGCCTTCCTTGATAAATGGGCTATCTAACACTGAAAGATTTTTTTAAATCGGAACAGTAGTTCCTGAGATTAGCGCGTTAAAACAAACAAACAAACAAACAAACTCTTCAGCTTTATAATATTAGTATAGATTTAAATTCTTATTAAATACCTAGTACATTACTATTATTATGAATCGCCAAAAAGACCAAAATACAAACACTTTTATATATTGCTCATGATAGTTTTACAAAATTAATCAAGCCCATATCATCGGTCTAGTGAATAGCGACCCGACAATATAAAAATCGTGAAAACAGTTAGAATTATAAAAATTATTTAATCAGTTGTAAATTTAATAAAACTAAACGATTTATTAATTTTAAATATCAATATAACTAATCAAATAAATCCCAATTGGGTAAATAAAGTGTCAGAGAATTTGCGTCATTTTTTGGATATAAATTAGGCAAATTTTTCGTTCAAAGGCATAGCAAGGAGTTTGGCCTAGGTGGTCATACCTCCAGTAATATCATATATTGTTTTTCAACCATGATTTCCTTCAAATTTCTTCTGTTTGCAGCCTTGGTAAGTGGTTCATCATTATTTACCTCCATTTCTTCTTAGTTAACTCTTTTCTTTTCAACCGATTTCAAAGAAAGAACAGGTTGAATTTTTGGTTGAATGTTTGTGTAAAGCGCATTTGTATCAAGTTTCCCTTTTCTTTGAAGTGCTGTTGTCCTCCGTAATTCGCTCCCTTAGTCGACTGTGTATACACATCAGAAGTGTTAAAGACAGCTTACTATAAGCTAAACCAACTATTTTCATCCTAATTTGACTGGCCTGTCGGTCTTGAGAGATATAGGGTCTGATTTTCACCATAAAACACATTTAGACATTCTATCAATGCTTATGTAAGATTTTAAATTAATTTATAAAAAAATTTGGTTGGCTCAAGCATGTTCTAGAAAGGTATTACTTTGATCTAAATATTGAAACAGGTTTATGAGTGATAATTTGTGATAATCATCAACATCATCATCATCAACAACAGCATATAACAGTCCACTTCTGGACATAGGCCTCTCCTTAGAAAGGATGGCCAGATGGGCTGGTATGGGGTTTGTGTCAAGTTTTTCTTGTCTTTGCAATGCGGTTGTCCTGCGCAGTTTGCTCCCTTAGTCGACAACGAAATCATGAATACGGATGCTGACACTATGTATTCTTAATCCGTTACCACACGGACGAATATCTATACAAATAAATAAAATTGGAGTGTTTGTTTGTAGTATTAAAATAACCGCTTTTTACTAAATGCATAGGGATGTTTACACGGTACATATGCCAAAATAACATTTTTTACATTTTTTCTGTCTGTCTGTCTATTTGTTCCGGGTAATCTCTGGAACGGCTGGACCGATTTCAATTCAATTCAATTTCGGGACTTTCACTGGCAGATAGCTGATGACATAAGATGTAACTTAGGCTACTTTTTTTAGACTAGCTTTGCCCCGGTAACACCGCGGGTCTCAGCTAGTTTAATATAAAAACCCAACCTTTGTTGATTAGTCATGATTGTCTTTTTTTCAGGTTGCTGTCACTCTCAGCCATCATATACATAGTAGAAGTCTAGTACAGGCTAGAGTTGGGCACAGCCACCATCATGAGGCACGTTCGCATCGTGGAAGAGGATTAGTTAGAGAAGACAGATCCGATTCTGATGAAGGAATAGAAGAAGAAGGAAGTGGTAGCCAAGTAAACTATGACTCAGAAGAAGAGCAGGAGAGAAGGAGAGTTGTTATCAATTCTAGACGCAATTCAAGAAATGATAATAGCAGAGTATCTGGGAAAGCTGTAAGAGTAGTCAATGGCTTACGCAATGTGAGTATACAGACGTATTTGATAATATTTATATTCTAAATACGACTTTAAATCGAAAGGAGGAAATTCACAATTCGACTGTAGATTTTTTATGTTTATTACCTTAGAATTGCGTCAGTAATTAACGGATGTGAAGAATTCTTTTTTTATTTGAGAGGGAACACTTCTCGTTTGGATAAAAATAATAGAATTTGCAGTGTGGTAATTTTTAAAAGTTAGTTATAAGTTTTGACAAAATATTTCAAGGAGATCTAAGTGATAAAGAATTTATTTATAAGCTTGTAGATAAGTAATTGATTACTTATTTTTATTGTTCTTTTTTTTCAGCTTAAACGAAAAGCATTGTATTCAATCGGCTTCTTCAGTCAAGGAATCAAAGGTAAAAATAAAAACTATTCATATGTTTTGTTTTTTTTTATAATTTTATTAAAAACCGAAGAAGTGACTTGCCAAAAAAACAGGTTGATGTATTTAATTAATCTACGGTGCAGATAAATAGAACTATAGTTCTTTTGATGTCTTACTTCATTCATTGTTTTGACTTTCTTTCGTTTTGACTGCACAGATGGCGTTGTGGTTTAAGCGTTCTACTACGCTGAAAGTTGTGGGTCCGATCCCCACATGGGACGACACTTTGTGTGATCCACAAATTGTTGTTCTAAGTCTGGGTGTTCTTTGTGTCCGTTTCATGTATGTTTGTAAAGGCCCCTACGACACAGGATATATTCCTAATGTGGGAGTTGTCTTTAAAAATATGTATATTTATATATATTTTATTATGTTTCAGGGGATCACCGCGCTTCTTCTATATTCAAACATCTTTCCACCAGACGTAAGTATAAGATTTTAAGAATAATAAAGAATTTAAGTACGCTTATAACAAACACAGCCTTAGGTCCTAAATAAATTAAAGAAAAATAGACTCTATTTTAGTGTGATATGGCTCATAATTGATTCTTTATTCTAACTAGTGATGTGTTGGATATTTGAATGTGTGTGTTGCCACGTTTATCCGAGCCAAGAACAATATCTTAAACTTTTGGATTGTTATTGAGTCCTCAAGAGTTGTTGTTTTAAGATCACGCGTTATGACATTATCGGAAAAAGGAATTTATTGACTCATAATTCGTATTTATAAACCTTATCCGCGGCATTTTTAAAGTCCTAGCGCATCACTAGGGAAAACGATAAGGAAATATATTAGGAAATAGTTTTTGTATTACTGTCTTGTTGTTGTCCACTGCTGAACGTGGGCCTCTCCTTAGAAAGGAGGTTTTGGCCCACTATACTGGCCAGACGGGTTTGTGTCAAGTTTGCCTTCTCTCTGCAGTGCTGTTGTTCTGCGTAGTTTGCTCCCTTAGTCGGCTCTTACGACACCCACGGAATGAGTAGGGGTGGTGACGCTCTGTATTCTTAAACCGTCACCTCACGGATACTTGTATTTATTTGTTTTTTTTTATTTGCAGCTAAAGCAAGAAGTGTTGAAGACGTTTTAAACGTTTACCTTACTGGTAAGATTTTTTTATAATTTTGCGTTGAAATTATTAAATTAACTAAGTACGTATATTGTGACGAATAAGTAAAGTTATTTTAAAATACTGATAAAGGGTGGATGGTGGAGGAAAGCGGCGGTAGCCTAGTGGTTAAGGCATTCGACTTGCGATCAAGAGGTCGTGGGTTCGAATCCTGACCAGTTAGCGGGAGGGGTTATCGGGAATACTAGTAATTTCGTGGTAATAGCGGTTCCAAACTCACATTAAATACTCTTTATTAAAAGTAATAAAAAATTTTTTTGAAACTACCCTTTTAAGGGGTGCGAGTTTGAGTTGGAAACTATTTTTTTTAACTTATCGTTTCCAAAGTCTCTGTACATACAATTAATGTATATTCTCTATAAAAAAAAAATCGACATATATTTCAATAAATTTTCAAAACTACCCCCATAAGTGATTAAATGGGGTTGTTGTATTATAAATTTATGTAACTAATGTCTCATATCGTTGCCAAAAGGTAGTAAGTTATAAGTAGTAGATTGAATTAAAAATGAACAAAAATTATGCAGATTTTCATTTGAAGTTCTTTGTGGGGTAGTGATAAATGATTCTTTTAATTTTCTATGATTAATTTAGGTATGATAATGACAGAAATTTACTTAAATTGCACTGATGACTTAAAATCTTGTCTTAGTATGTCGTTAGCTAATATTTTATTAAATTTTACAGGTGCGTTTGGAGCTGGTGAGATAATCGATTCTTGGGTACCTGGATGTGAGTACAACCTTAACTTTATTGACATTAGTATTTGTACTTTAAACCAATAGTGTTGTGGGTTCAAATCAATCAATCAATCAATCAATCAGTTTTTATTGTGAAACATAGGTATACAAAGGTTGTTTACAGTGGTAGAATGATCTACTATGTTCTGCCATTTAGGCTTACAATAATTATTGTAATTTTTATTTTTTTCTCTTTAATTAAAGAGAAAAAAATAAAAACTTGTGAAACGCTAAATTTAAGACATGCAAATAGAACTACATTGAATTGTCGCAATTAAAGCAATATAATATTTCAGTTTGATTTTTCATACCTTAGAGCTTAAAACATGCAAAATCAATGTCTCTTTTTAATAAATTATGTATAAAATTTTAGAACTATGATGTCAATAAAGTAATTACAATGTCAAATAAAAAATAAAGATAAATAATAAATCAAACCGGGACGAGACTTTGTGTGATCCACAAATTGTTGTTCTGAGACTGGATGTTCTTTGTGTCCGTTTCATGTATGTTTGTAAAGTCCCCCGCGACACAGGATATATTCCTAATGTGGGTGTTGTCGTTATAAAGGAAAAAAAAACCAATAATATCTATTTTTATTTGCAGTGGGCAGACTCTTCTCATCGGGTGAGTATTTTTATTATTAAGGTTTTTAAAGTTTTTCAAAGGGCTAAATCCTTAATCCTGCAACTTAATCAGAAATTCTAACTATCATTGAAGACTGCGGGTTTTGTTTTCTCCCAAACATCGTATATTCGTTAAGGATTATAATGCTATCTGCACTTTGCCAAAATAACTTCTAATCCAATTGACAGACCTGTTGGTCTAGTCATTATATATAGCACAGGTTCTACGTAGTTTTAGACCAGATTGCCGTGTATGAGATGTGTAAAATTATCAAAAAAAATTACCAAAACAACGGGTTTTAGACCTAGAAAAGTCTGCACTAATACCGTAGCTGATTTGAATATCACTTTTGTTTCATCAACAGCCTATACTAGTCCACTGCTGGACATAGGCCTCTCCTTAGAAATGAGGTTTTGGCCTACTATACCACGCTGGCCAGACGGGTTGGTATAGGGTTTGTTTCAAGTTTTCCTTCTCTTTGCAGTGCTGTTGTCCTGCTTAGTTTGCTCCCTTAGTCGGCTCTTACGACACCCACGGGATGAATAGGGGTGGTGACAATTTGTATTCTTAATCCGTCACCACATTTGTTTAAAGCAGTGATACTTCTAATTTCAGATTATTTAATGGTAGTGTAAATGACAGAATATTTGAACAATCTGTTATGAGTCTCATCTCTGAGTTCTAATTTTCCGTTTCGTTATAGTTGCTGTCGCGTCAGTCAAGATCAATTTCTGCTTGGGTGATGGTAGAGCCACAGTCCGTTCTCGTCCTGGTAAGTTATTAAGTCATTAAATAGAAATCTTTTTAAGACAATATGGAATTGTATTGAATCTCAAAGGGAATTTACTTTTAAATAAATTGTGGTGATTTTTTTCTTAGCCTAAACTGTACAACTATTGCGCAAACACTTTCTCAAAATCTTTTAAATATCATTATATATTTTTTATCATAAAAGAGTAAATTCTTCCATACTGTTCAACCTCAGAAGATCAATTGGCTAGACCTATGAAGGATCTAATGATGATTTATTCCTCATCAGGTCAATGGAAGGAGGGTCCATGAGGTGACCCACCTGCTCCTTTACTTTCTATACCATAAAAAAAACTAGTCGAAATGACGGATCGGCAGACGTAACCTTATCACTTTCTCGTACTGGTTCTCCGTGCGATATTGATAATAGCACTGAATCGTAAATATTGATATTTGTTTTACAGGAACCATCTGTAGCAACAAGTACGGTAGCAACTGGGGATTCAAGGCTGAACGAGAGATCTCCACTTATAATTCAGCTAGGGATTATATCACCGCGTATGGTCTTAACGATGGTTTAGCTAAATGCAAAAGACTGTTGAGTACCCACGCTAAAGTTGAATTGTCTAGTCTATCAGGTAATTAACATCTTTGTGTATTATTCTATTATTGGTCCGTTTGGTGACGGATTAAGAATACAGAGTGTCACCACCCCTATTTATCCCGTGGGTGTCGTAAGAGCCGACTAAGGGAAAAAACTAAGCAGGACAACAGCACTGCAGAGAGAAGGAAAACTTGACACAAAACCTTTACCAACCCGTCTGGCCAGCGTGGTATAGTAGGCCAAAACCTCCTTTCTCAGGAGAGGCTTATGTCCAGCAGTGGACTATTAAAGGCTGTTGATGATGATGATGATGTATTATTCTTCTGTTTGTGTATGCTACTAAATTCCATCTAAATGGTTGAATAAATTTTGGTGAAATCTTTTATGTTTTCGAATGGAACCGTAGTAGGTTTAGTTTCACGTTGTTTTATTTATCTGTATTTGAGCGGGTCCGACGACATGGTGAGGGCGGTAAGAGAACAATGGATTCGGCTGGCACAAAACCGCCAGGAGTGTTGTGATAGAGAGGCTTACCCAACAGTGGGTCCAAGAGGCTGTTTAGATAGGTATATAGAGCGGGTCCGTAGATACCCGTATAAATATTGTTCTAATTGTTCTCTGGTACTGGTACTTTAAGGTGAATTATTTTCCATATTTAATTGGGTCTCTAGGTGTTTTTAGAAAATAGCATACTTAGTACTTGTGTCTCTAGAGTTGCAGGTCTAGCGGTGGTAGATACTTACTATCAGGCTAAAACCTCCTTTCTAAGGAGAGGCCTATCTCTAGCAGTGGACTACTAAAGGATGTTGATGATGATGATGATGAGGATGACCCATCTTTTCCACTCTCTAAAATAAAGGTGTCTGCATTTATCACAAAAAATAATAATAGATTTCTGATTAATTTGATTTGTTTTTCAATTTCAGGCTCCCAGAGGATAGTGGCACAAGCAATATTCGACTTATTCCAAAACGATAGATTTAGCCGTAAGTCATTTATTATATTATACTTACTTTATACTAACTTTATATTATTCGACTGCACGGATGGCGTAGTGGTTTAAGCGGTCGCCACGCCGCTTCCTACAACGCCGAGTGTTGTGGGTTCAAACCCCACATGGGACGACACTTTGTGTGATCCACAAGTTGTTGTTCTGAGTCTGGGTGTTCTTTGTGTCCGTTTCATGTATGTTTGTAAAGTCCCCCGCGACACAGGATATGTTCCTAATGCGGGAGTTGTCTTTTTAAAAAAAACAAAATAAAAAAAAACTTTATTTAAAAGTGTGACTAAATTTTAAGCCGTCGCCATTATGGTATCGAAAATAAATTTACATCCCTGCTTATAAAGGAACGTGTAAAGTTATTGTTAATAGTTATTTATTTATTTATTTGTTTATTAGGATCTCCTACGAAAGATTTACACAAGTAAAAAAACAGTAATTAACAGAATGGGTTTAAAGTCGGTGTACTCCTTCACTTACAGGAGACCACAGCAAGCACAGTGAAAAAAAATTAATACCATCAACCAAGCGAACAAAGTTACAAGCGATGTTTAAAATTTAAATTCTTAAAAGTAACAAAAAACATAATTAAAAAATAAAGTACGAAGAATAAAAAATACGAAGTACAACAAAAAATAATAATAAAAACGTTGAGGCTTACAATATTGTAACTAACAGTTTTTATATACATATATTTACATATAGAATTGTACTAATATATGAATGTGTTTGTTTCAGATAATTATTCCTGGTCCAAGAAGGATGTTTCCTTTGTATTCTCTAAAGGTAAAAATCTTGAAGTTATACTTTAAGCAGTATTAGACTTAGATTGTTAACCGTCTAAGAGTAATGTTTCGGTACATATGTATGGGCAGGCTTGACTAAGGCGATAAAAAAATTGAGTGTTAATCCATTCTTAAAGCCTACTAAGGGAAAAAACTACGCGGAACAACAGCACTGCAGAGAGAAAACTTGACACAAACCCTATGCCAACCCGTTTGGCCAGCGTGGTATAGTAGGCCAAAACCTTCTTTCTAAGGAGAGGCTTATGTCCAGCAGTGGACTATTAAAAACTGTTGATATGGTGATGTGATGATGTGAGCCATTCTTTCGTTCAAATTTGTTTAGGTCAAATGTTGTCAAATGGTCAAATTTGCGTATCTAAGCCAAACTGATGTAAATATTTTCTAAAGCTAAAGCTCCCTGTAGATTGATTGGAAAAAGTAACACAGTTAATAAGTCGCTAGTTGTATTGACGGGCCTGTTGGTCTAGTGGTTGGTGACCCTGACTGCTAAACTAGAGGTCGTGGGTTCGATTCCCACCCAGGACAAGTATTTGTATGATGAGCATGATCGTTTGTTCTGTGTCTGGGTGTAATTTATCATAGTATGTATTTAGTAAGTAAGTATGTTTATCAGCGGTATGGTTACCATAGTACAGGCTCTGCCAAGTTTGGAATCAGGTGGCCGTGTGTGTGATGTCTGAGGTTATTATTATTTTTATAGTTGTTATTTATTTTTGAAGGTTTTGGAACAGACATGAAATCTTTTAAGGCTTTCTTTAATAATGCATTTAAATTTACAGTAATCACCGTCGTGGCAGCTCTGGGTAGCAGTTACCACAAGAACGGTAAGTTTATTTTATTTCATATTTCAAAGAAACTTTACAGTCAAATTTTAAAAAAAATAATTACCTCTTTAAATATTAAAATTTGAAACAAAGATTACGCTTCTGAAAGTCCATCCTTTTCATGTTATTATTACAAGTGTAATACGCATTTTGTTTTTGCATAGCATGAGTTCTCGTGTAAATTAGGGCATCGTCTAAATACATAACCCTAGACTACTGTTGGTATTCTGCTAAAGGTACTTGCAAAACAAATTAAAGGAATGCTCAATATATCTTAATAAAGGATCAATATGAAAAACTGAAAAATACATGTGTAGTTGGATATATAATATCGACAAATCACAGTTTTCAGTCAAGGCATTCTCCAACGTATAGTCTAAACTACTAAAGATTCCATTACAAAATTTATCAAACTCACCCCTCCATTTATAGGCGGAGAGGGGTGAAATATCAAAGTGCGGCCACACACTTATGTCTCTCTAGTAGGAGGTGTTCGACGGTAGCCATCAGGTGGCACATCTGCTCTGTTGCCCCTCTACCATTCAAAGAAATGTATTGATATAATTATTATTGTGCAGTTGGACCTATCATCGTTGATGACCTTTGCGACTACAGCAGCGTGATCGGCAACGACAACAATGGTTTGAGTAAGTAGTTTATTATCTTATTAGACGGGGCACGGTTTAGTGGTTAGTGGCCCTGCCCTGCTATATCAGAGGTCGTGGGTTCGATTCCCACCCAGGACAAATAATTGCGTGATGAGCACGGTCATTTGTTCTGTGTCTGGTTGTACTACATCTATAATATGTATGTATTTAGAAATACATAAGTATGTTTATCAGCAGTCTCGTTACCATAGTACAGGCTCTGCCTAGTTTGGGATCAGACGGCGTGCGTGACATGTGGGAAAATATTATTATTATTAAACCCGGGTTCTGATGGCGCTCGTTCCAGATAAAAAATCGAAGTTAAAAAGTGTCATAATAGACTGAAACTCGACCTTAATTTAGTTTGAGATAAGGTTCGGAGGATGAAAAAGCCCAACTGACGGCAATAGGTTTGCCAGGAATATTATTTTACGTTTACTACATATGTAGGAACAAAAAATATAGTCAGTTCGCTTCCGTCGTGCACTTTCGAGGATAAAGGCGTGTGTATTTATGAATATATTTTTTCTTGCAGAGTTGTCTACGTTGAAGGCTGAAATCAGAAAAGCTATCGCAAAAGCTAACTCTAATAGGTGGAAGAATGTGATCAAAGAATGCTCTGATGATGATTACCGTAAGATAATTCAAGTTCGTGAAGATGATGATAGTGAAGAGTTAGATTCTGGTCTCAATACGTTACCTCAAAATAAAAGACCAAACACAGAAGATAATGAAAATGATGAGATAGATAGTGATACTGTTAGTGATAGGGCAGATGATGATAATGATGATACAGTTGATATTGATGATGAGGAAAATGTTAACGACTATCGTAGAGTCAAAATTGAGAAGAAAACACACAAAATTGATAGAAGAAACAACAATAAAAATATTGACATTAATAAGAAGAAAAGAGTAATTGATGATGACGACGATGAATACACTAAGAAGAGGAATACCAATTCGGATAAAATTCGTAAAGAAAAAAAGAAAAATATCCATGTTTATCGTAAAGAAATTGATATTAGAGATATAAATGACGATAAGAAAAACAATAATAATAGAAACGTAAGTGATCATTTATACCTTTTTTTTACCTTTAAAAAAAAAAAAAAAAAAAAAAAAAAAAAAAAAAAAAAAAAAAAAAAAAAAAAATGATATAATATATATAATTATATTGATAATATGTGATTGCGATTTGGTCATATTTGGCCATCAAAATCAATCAAAATTATTTTATCCTAAGATTTTTTAGATTTAGACCTTTCGCGAGTCTTGTGCAAGCGTAATAATAATAATTAGTCGATTGGGATTTTATTTCTTCTCTAACCAGAAGTCTCCATCAGAAGTTACGTCATTAGGGTCATCTCTGTATTTCTAGTATCTCGTTAATTTTCAATATGATTATTATTTTGTATCATCAACAGCCTTACACAACAAATAGTCCACTGCTGGACATAAGCCTCTCTTTAGAAAGGAGGTTGTGGGTTTGGTATAGGGTTTGTGTCAAGTCTTCCTTCTCTCTGCAGTGCTGTTGTTCTGCGTAGTTTCTTACCTTAGTCGGCTCTTACGACACCCACGGTATGAATAGGGGTGGTGACACTCTGTGTTCTTAATCCGCCACCACACGGACCTATTTTGTATACTTCTGATGTTTGAAAGTGATTATTATTATTACAAGGCACTTGGAACCCTTGAGTTTTGACCCGTATGAGCCTTACCATTCAACAAAGGATTTTTTCTTTCAGCCGACACAAAAACCCTTATCATCATTCAGAATCTTCTGGAGAGGAATTAAAAGTAAGCACAATATTTTTTTTACTATGTTTGGTAACCAGAAGTAGAATACCCTTAAATTCCCTTATCCCAAGAGGAGGTTACTTGAAGAGTGGGGAATCTCTTGCTGTAGGTGTCTATAGGTGGCAGTAGTCACCTAACATCTTCAAAAAATTAATAAAACATCAGGTTTTTAATCTCCTCGCTTGTCCCCTACTCCATAAAAAGACTTAGTTGAATTTTATTCAGTAAACTCTCGGCATATGCAAAAATGACTAGAAATTGAGATTGGAAAATGTATTTACAATTTACCTATTTCATAATTTATCTTTTTTTTTGCAGAAGACCACAGCGCATCTAAGATATTTAAAATCCTGTCAAAGAAGCGTAAGTATCATATAAAACAGTTGTGTGCCTTATAGAAAATACAATACCGTGATATAAACTCGCAATCAGCTTGTGGAGATACGGGTGTCTTGTATCTCCAACACAAAGCGAAGATCCTCCGACCAGGCGATAATGCCTGGCGGGCCGCTGCCGAACTGTTGATGTTAAAAGTTATAATAATATAATACTTTAATTCCGATAGTTTTTTGTTGAATTTGGAGGACACTGGACCATTGGTTAGTTGTATTAAAATTAACCTTCGTGGGATGTAATAAGACATATTATAATAAGCAAGATTTTTTTTAATAAAATATATTTCTTCGTGAGCAGATGTAAGAAAAAAGACATCTCTGGCGGTATCTTTCATTTGAATTGTAAAACTCGTATTTAAAGTAAAATTAAATGATTACAATACAATTTTTTTCTTTGCAGCAAGACCTACCAAATTTGGTGATGTTCTGGACGTATATTTGACCGGTAAGAATAATTTTTTCTTGTTTACAATTTTCCTAAATCATCAAAGAACAAAAATGCATCAAAATTGAAAGCTCTTAAACATAATAAATAATATAGAGGCTATAAGAGACAATAACCCTTTGAAAACACAAAAGATAATTTAAGAAAAATCTGTGGAATACAGCAAAAGTGTGTGTGTCTGAGCGCGTGCGTGTTTAAGGATTATTATTTATTGCTAATGACACCTCAGTGGTGGTATGAATGTGATAGTGGGCTGTATTTAAAGCTGTCAAATGTTGTATGGTTAACAATACATTATTTAAAAACGTATATCATGATGGACAAAGGATGATATGCATGAGGGCTGCAGTCTGTGGTGGACTGTCTATCTGGCCCGGCTGGCGAGCGCCAGTGGCTAGAGCAGGTTCAAGATGTCTTAATAACAGCAGTTCCCGGATCCCTCCTATAACAGGCGCAGAGTGGCACCCCGTTTGGTTTTAGTCGGTCCGATTCCGACAATGACCGACCCTGCCGCAAACCCCGATGGGTATGGGTATGGAACCCACACGTATAAAGAAAGGGCAGGGTCGCTAAAAAAGGTGATTTGCTCCGATCGTCTGTGTATGCAATCGGCAGATTTCGAGTACTAGACAGTAGTATTGATCTTACAATATTTTTTATTAATTACCTTTTCTTTATTATTAATTATCTTTAACTTTTTAGGTGCATTTGGAGCGGGAGCTATAATTGATTCCTGGGCGCCTGGATGTAAGTACAAATTTACTTCCAATTTATTGAAATTAATGAATTTAAACCTTAAAACAATATTAATTAAATCTTCTTTTACTTGCAGTGGGCAAACTCTTCTCTTCGCGTGAGTATTTGTTTCATTTCTTTTTATTATCAATTATTAGAGTTTTACACACATTTACTTACTTCATATGACTGACATTTTCTCCCAGTCTACCTTTGAGTGGGTAGGAAAGGTCTAAGTAGGTGCACTACTTTTTTTTGAAGAGATAATCATAAAATTGAGGAGATGGACAGAAATAGTGGGACAGATATATATACAAACATATTGAAATACACACACATGTATACTTGTTTAGTTCCATACATACACATATACACAAATAATATGTATATAAAACATTAAGGATGTGATAAATTTGAAATTGAATGCAAATTGCGAAACTTTTAAAAATTGAGGCACATACATATGCTTGTAACTTGATGATCAGATCATCCAAGTGCTTTTCTATTTTCTTTTCTTTGAATTAAAAAAGAAATGTTTTATTTTAGTTGCTGTTGTGTCGGCCAAGATCAACTACTGTTCAAACAATGGTCCCTTCAAAGTACCTTCCAGTTATCTTGGTTAGTATGAACTTATTAAAGTTTACATTGAGAGGGAATGTACAAAAATTCATATTTTTTGTAATAACTTTCTAGTAAGAGGACAATCTAATCTATGATCTAATGGCTACTGTTTTTGACTGTTACGCCAGAAGTCGTGGGTTCGGTTCCCACACAGAACAAATAATTGTGTGATGAGCACGGTCATTTGTTTTATGTCTGAGTGTACTTTATCTATAACATGTATGTATTTAGAAATATATAATTATGTTTATCAGCAGTCTGGTTACCATAGTACAGGATCTGCCTGGTTTAAGAGTGTGAGATAAATTAAATTATATTATTATTATCCAAGAACCAAATGAAAAGCCTTAGATGACACATGACGCCACCTAACAACAAAATTTTAACTTCGTAATGCAGCAGTCAGGATTCATCATAAATAGGTATATCATCCATATAAATTTTCGATGAACGACTCTCACAAGTTTTTAATTTTATTCTGAGCGTTGACTTTTTCGAAGTCTACAAACAAATCGTATTTAAGAAGTTAACGTAACACGTTTATCAACAGAATGTAACTAAGAAGGAATATTTACAGGTTCCATATGTACTGATAAGTATGGCAGCCAGTGGGGATTCAAGCCAGTCCGACAGACCACAACTTTTAACAAACCCAGGGATTACATCATCGCGTACGGTCTTGACGATGGTTTAACTAAATTCAGGACATTGCTGAAGACCCACGTGAAGGTCGATCTGTCAAGTCTATCAGGTACGTGTTAATGAAATTAAAAGGAATGAGTTATAAAAAAAAACGGTAAACGGCAAGGCTTGTTATGGCAATGTACAAGTATCATCACCATAGTATAATACCACCATAATAGTCCACTGCTGGATATAGGCCTCTCCTTAGAAAGGAGGTTTTGGCCTACTATACCACGCTGGCCAGACGGGTTGGTGTTGGGTTTGTGTCAAGTTTTCCTTCTCTTTGCAGTGCTGTGGTTCTGCGTATTTTCACCAACGGGATGAACAGGGGTGATGACACTCTGTATTCTTAATCCGACACCACACGGATAGTATTCACAAACTTCAGACCAATCTAAAACAATAAAAAAAATGACAGATCTATTTACAAATTAATTATTGTAATTACAGGCTCACAGAAGATAGTTGCTCAATCAATTTATGACATTTTGCAAAATGGAAGATTCAACGGTAAGTGAACTACTAACTATATCTTCTAGCAGTTTTGTTTGAATTTCTTTTATAATTTTGGGATGTGCATTAATATAAATTTCTTCTCTTTCAGATGACTACTCTTGGTCCAAAAAGGATGTGTCTTTTGTTTTCTCAAAAGGTAAGAATCTTATAATCGTTGCTGTTATAAAATACAAAAGAACATTACATTATGATGCTGATTTAATTTTATTTACAATACTAAAACAATTATAAATATAAGTTTATTTATTTCTAACCATAATTACAGTATTGGCATACAGATACATGTTAAACGAAAATAAAGGGACTATGGTGGGTTGATAGCTGAACTATTAATATTCCTGTATCCCTGGTTATCAACTCTCCAGCCTACAAACACAGTTGTCTTATATCTATTATAAACTTAATGACTGGCCTGTTGGTTTAGTGGTTAGTGACCCTGACTGCTACGGGTTCGATTCCCACCCAAGGCAAATAATTGTGTGATGAGTAGCGTCATTTGTTCTATGTCTGGGTGTAATTTATCTATAATATATAAGTATGTTTATCAGCAGTCTGGTTACCATAGTACAGGCTCTGCCTAGTTTGGGATCAGACGGCTGTGTGTGAGAAAATATTATTATTAGATATATTATGATTAATGTTTTAGTATGGTAAATTACCATCATTTCTTTAATACAGAATGCGGCTAATAGGGGGAACTCCTCTTGATTGTAACAATTAAACAAAAAAAACATAGTGAGTTTAGAATCTTTATATTTATTGATTTAATTTTTATGTTTCCAGTGATCACGGTCTTGGCTACTTTGGGCAGTAGTTATCATAAGAATGGTAAGTTGATTTAATTGTTCATCAGACATAAAAAATACTATGATACAATTTTAGACATCATCATCATCATCATCAACAGTCTTTAATAGTGAACTGCTGGACATAGGCCTCTCCTTAGAAAGGAGGCTTTGGCCTACTATACCACGTTGGCCAGACGGGTTGGTATAGAATTTGTGTCAAGTTTTCCTTCTCTTTGCAGTTTTGTTGTCCTGCATAGTTTGCTCCCTTAGTCGGCTTTTACGATACCCGCGGGATGAATGGGAGTGGTGACAATCCGTAATCTGAATCCGTCACTTGTTGTGAAATTTTAGCTGTTAAATTTAGCTTCATAAATATTATGAGAGAGTCCTAATACTATAAATATATATATAAAAAATAAATCCAGTTTTCAATTTGTCATCGCTTTGTGATGACATCGTTAACAATATTTCCTTTAAGGCCAGTGTATAACATAAATTATACATTTCAGTATGGATGTTAAGGTTTATTTTTAAATAACTATCATTCAGAAGTCTGAATAATTCGAGCATAGTGTTACTTCAGTTTACAATTTAGTCATTAAACTTTAATTTTGCAGTTGGACCCACCATTGTCGACGATCTGTGCGATTACAGCAGCGACATCGGCAGCGAGTCATATGGCTTGGGTTAGTATTAGCCACTCATTGTATAAATTATTTTTACCTATCCTATCCAGCTATTTAGAAAAGAATCCGTTTTATTTGTAAATATTACTCGTATACTCTCCTAAATCGTTCTCTTCTTTTTGTTTGTAATTCTCATTTGTGATGAGATGACATCATTGTATTTATATGCGTAAATCTTTTTCTACAGACTTATTCTCCCTGAAGAAAGAAATCAAGACAGTTATCGTCAGTGCCAACTCTCACAGATGGAAACAAGTGATAAAGGAATGCTCTGATGATCAATACTATAAGATTGTTCATACTCAAAATGATGATGACGATGACTTTGATGATAGTGCTGAAAACAATGATACAAAGAGAGATACTCGAATTGATGAGGATATTAATAAACAGAACAAAGGTGACAAAGGAAGAACTAACAAAGACTTGTCTAGAGATGACGTTGATGATGATGACTTTACTTCGATAAACAATAATAAAAATGATGAAAAGGTAGATGTAAAGAATGTCAAGGAGGACGTTTATAAACAAACCGAGGAAGATAAAGTCAACACCAACAAAAAATCAACCGTTGACGAAGACGTCATTGAAAAGAGAGTTACACTTGAAATCAATAAAAAGACCGACAGTAAGGTAAGTGTTAAAGAGATAAAGTTACTTAAAATAAAAAAAGTATATAATAGTAACAATAATAAGTCGATTGTGATTTTATTTCTTCTCTAACCAGAAGTTTTCGCCAGAAGCTAGATCATAAGGGTCTTCTCGTCTTAGTTTTGACCCGTATGCTCCGTTTTGCCGTATGCAAAACAAAACAACATTCACAAATGTTTTTTTTCTTACAGAGGACACAAAAACCCTTATCATCATTCAGAATCTTCTGGAGAGGAATTAAAGGTAAGCACAATATTTTTTTACTATGTTTGGTAACCAGAAGTTGAAAACCCTTAAGTTCCCTTATTCCAAGTGGAGGTTAATTGAAGAGTGGGAACACACTTGTGTCTCTTGCTGTAGGTGTCTATGGGTGGCAGTAGTCACCTAACATCTTCAAAAAATTAATAAACATCAGGTTTTCAATCTCCTCGCTTGTCCCCTACTCCATAAAAAAGAATTAGTTGAATTCTATTCAGTAAACTATCGGCAAATGCAAAAATGACTAGAAATTGAGATCGGAAAATGTATTTACAATTTACCTATTTCATAATTTATCTTTTGTTTGCAGAAGACCACAGCGCATCTAAGATATTTAAAATCCTGTCAAAGAAGCGTAAGTATCATATAAAACAGTTGTGTGCCTAATAAAACATACAAAACCGTGATATAAACTCGCAATCAGCTTGTGGAGATACGGGTGCCTTGTATCTCCAACACAAAGCGAAGATCCTCCGACCAGGCGATGATGCCTGGCGGGCCGCTGCCTAACTGTTGATGTTAAAAGTTATAATAATATAATACTTTAATTCCGATAGTTTTTTGTTGAATTTGGAGGACACTGGACCATTGGTTAGTTGCATTAAAATTAACCTTCGTGGGATGTAATAAGACATGTTATTTTAATAAGCAAGATTTTTTTAAATAAAATATATTTCTTCGTGAGCAGATGTAAGAAAAAAGACATCTCTGGCGGTATCTATCATTTGAAGTGTAAAATTAAATGATTAAAATACAATTTTTTTCTTTGCAGCAAGACCTACCAAATTTGGTGATGTTCTGGATGTAT